GATTGCTCTTATTATGCGTAATAAAGGCGAATGTCTGAGATTGTTCGTCGTCTTCAACTTTTCTCATTTAATATCGTTAATTTTTGACATTCCGGTCTACTGGCGCATATTTCTTGATCTAAGTAACAAATTCGAAATGTCGTAAGCGTGCCGCAGGTGAGCTGTAGCGAAAAGAAACGAACGTTTAAACTTGTACGGAAATGTGTGGTAAATGAATTGCTTTCATAGAGGGTTTAATCAACAGTCGTACTGACATTCAGAAACAAGGACCACATCAACGCCCATATAGTACGAATAGTCCACTGTACGTACATTTTTGTTCTATTTCACGTACGTACGTCTATGGGATAAATATGTACGTCTGATGTACGTACAATTGTGTACGATCACAAACTATAACTCTACAACGTACAAAGTACGTACATGGTACATCGGAAATTCAATGGTGATAATAGTGATAGATTTTGTGCCCTGGTCCATTTATTGTGAAATAACGCATCAATTTGGAGGAATGCAGAATGAGTTACTTTGTATTTTGTCCTTTATTTATGAATTTGATGGATGTGAAATTCATTATTTTGGAGATATATTGCGCTCTGTGGCGGCCAGTCACCGTTATTCCACCGAATACACTTTTTCCATAATTGCAAAAGTAAAACTTCCCTGGAATCGGAATGCAAACGCAAAGGAATATCCACCGCTATTCAGTCACGCTGTTGGTTAAATAGAAAGTTGACTAAACCGCACGGCTACTTCCAAATAACACAAACACGTACATTTGAAGTACATAGTTAATTTTTGACAGCCTTGGATTTACTGACGAACGTTTCACGTACACTTACGGTTTATCTACGTACATTTGACGTACACGGTACGTTATTTTTGCACCACTTTGTACATACTAGGTAAATACTTTGCCGTACGGGAGTAATAGTAAGTACATAACAGTACGTCGAATGTACGTACGGAAGAGTACGTATCTAGCATATAAATGTACGTGAAATGTACGTCCGTAAATCCAGCGCTGTACGTACTATGTATTTGCAAAGTACGTACTTGTGTTATTTGGGTGAGTATATCAAACATTTGGAAAGTGAAAAACATACGATACAATACGATCTTTTGAATGGTTCAAATTTAAACCAAAAAGTGCGGTTATAGGCATTTAAGCCAAAGCAATCTACGTGAACTATTTAAACTTTAATGACTCTCAGAATGAGTTCTGGCTCTTTTGCAATGCCAGAATAGGTAATGGCATTTGTCATATTGTAAAAACGCGTCAAACACAAAAACAAACTGCCCAATCAGGCTTGCCCCAAGAAATGTATTAGATTTGTTAATATTAGGAGGCGGAGGACCCGATGCTAGGTTGAGAATTGATTCCCCTTAGCTCTTCTTGCCGTTGAGATTCGTCTGGTGAGCTGGATCCAACCATGTTTCAGCAACCCTAGCTATGAAGCTTCTAATGGTGGGGTTTGTATGTTGTTGTCTTGTTTTCCTACTTGTGGAGAGGTTGGGGAGGTGTTCTTTTTGTTCTAGGAGAGAGGCGTTTTTCCCTTTCCAGTCGCCAGTTGCTAGTCGCCGGTCGTTTGGACTCCGAAGTACTGGATGATGCCTGCCCATTGCAGTCTTTCTCCGTCCATCCGTAACTTTGTTAACACCGCGGTCGTCCCGCGATTGGTGAACATCCGGAAATCTTGACCTCGAATAGACGAAGAGATCGTCCGCATACAGGGCAACGTTGATGTTGGGGGGTGGAGAGGGAGGGGGCAGAGCTGGGTACTGCTCGCAAGCGTTTCGCTCGAAAACGCGCTCAAAGCGGAAAAAGCTCGCAGCGATCCGCTCGCGAGCATTTTTCGGAGCGGCCGTTTGGTGCTTGAAACTCGTGCTCGGCGCACGAGCCCTTTTTTTCTGCCCGCGAGCGGTTTTTCCGCTCATGAGCGTTTTTCCTCCGCTAGTAAGTTGAGACAATTAGAGCGCTCGTCGCTCGAGTGGTTTTTTAGAACGCTCGACCCAGCTCTGGGGGGGGGGGGGGGGGCGTGTGGAATGTCTTTCACGTACATGTTGAATAACGCAGATGATTGGCATCCTCCTTGTGGCACTCCCGCGGCGGCAGGTGATTTTTCCGGAGTTGTTGGTGGAGAGATCAGTGTTTGTGTGGGAGTGTTTATCTTCTTCTTGGACCTCTCCCTTCTTTTTTTCGTTGAGCTTTGCCATTCGGGGTCCTCGTCGTCAGAAGTAAAGGGGTTGGGGTTGGGCATTCTCTATGGGCTGACTGCTCTGGTGCTGCTGTATCGGTGGCCAAAACTGGTTTCTCGATGCGCCTGTGGCGCTTGTTCGCCGCTGCAAGACAAGCTGTGAACCCCCGGTAGTTGGTGGGGTGCCAGGTGGTTTTTGGCGCAACGACCGTATCAGGGTTCAAAGCCGCAGTTGACCCTTGAGTGACCGAATCTTTGGCACGCGAAACACTGTGGTAGTTGGCGACTAGTGCGGAAAGCAGCAGTTTGTTCAGGGTAACGAGGAAGGTATTCCTGTCAGCTGTGCTCGGCGATGATGCGGGTTCTTTTCCTTACGGCGCGACTATTTTGACTCAATTTCCGGAGAATGACTTTCAGGTTGCGTGCGTGGGTGACAAAGTTCCGCATCTCATTGACATAGATCGATTGGGGGCTGGTGTCTTGCATGACTGTGCCGAAAACGGTGTAGGAGCTGGAATGAAAGGAGCGAAGACGTCCACCTCGGTGGATTCCGTCGCTGTGGCGGCGGCGGTAACGAGTTTGGTTGTGGTTGTCCCCACCAGGGACCATTCTGTTCTGAGCACATTTTCGTTGCTTCGTGCCCCTTCGGTGCGGTTGTGGGTATTCCTTCTCTGTCGAGTGCTTCATTGCTTCTGGTGGTCGAAAGATTGAACCGGTCCGAAGACGGTTGCAGTTGGTGTAGCCTGAACGAGTGCTTGTTGAGGGGAAAAAAGGAAGAGGCCAACGTGTTTCATTCCTCCGCCACCCCTGGGGATACCAGAGGCGGGTTTGTGCAGCTACGTCTTCCACAATGAAGATCCACTTCTCTATGGTGGGGTCCTCTTCGGCGACGACTGGGACGACGGTTGCTCTACCGACGCCGCGGCGAAGACCTTCCTTGTTGCGGAAGAGGCGGCCCTCTGACGCTTCGGCGAGGTCGTCGCGACCTTTTCCACCCACCGCTTGAAAACGGGGTGGCCGCGACGGCCGCTCGAAGGATCCGGACGCGCCTTTTCCATTGTTTGGATTAAGGCACCCGAAGCGACTGCCCCCTTGATGTACTTCCTTATGAAGCGCGCCATTTTCTTGATAACGAGGATCCGCCGCGGTCCTTAAGGCCCTTGATGATCCAGTTGTCCATTACGGCCGTCGGAGGATGATACGCTTCAGAATAAGAGCTCCCCTTTGCTCCCATCTTTTTCTGCGGGAAATTCTATTTATTTATTTTTTGAATTTACTCAAATTTGAGTCGATTTATAGCCTTCAATGAATTTGTATCCAGTTAGCTGATGAATGTTGATGGAAAAGGGTGCAAATAAAAAAAATGCAGAGTAATGGAAAGTTGGCTGTTCTGGGAGAACCCTCAGGAAAGCATTGAATCGTAAGCGAAGTTAGGTGTAAATTAGTGTAACACTATAATAATCGAGAGGGAAATTTCCTGTTAGTAAGGTAGCGAAGTTGAGTAAGTGTAAGACCAATGGAAAGGTTTAAACGAACGAATAAAAGGTTTGGTGATCTCCAATTTCAAGGGATAAGTTGGGAAACCATCACGGTAAATACGCACAATCGCGCGAAATGAAATTCTGCTACACTGAAAACTAGAAGAATTGATTTATTGAGTTTCATGTTGTAATAATTCCCCGCACGTTTGAAGCGAATAAAAGTGTATAATGATATTTATATTTTGGCGTTGGCGTAATTGAAATTTGAACTGCCAATCAAGGGTGTCATGCATTATAGACATAGGAATGTGTATCAACTTTCCTTTTCAAGAGTTGGATGAATCAATAATTCGAGTTTCAACGACCAAGAGATTTTCTTGTATTCAAAACACTAACACCACGATTTCTTTAAAGAGCATTGCAAATTTCAATCATTGTCTGTTAAGTAGATGTTTCCGATGCCCGAAACTTTAATCCCCTTCAAGGTAGTCTCGTTGGCGATGTACACACTCCAGTCGCTTCCGTCATTTTTGAAACACACCTGGAACGCAGTTTATGGAATGGTGTTCAGTCGGGCCGCCGTTGTCTTCTCTTGACTCAAATCGGGGCCCTTGTCAGCGGCTTTTCGAACTTGGGAAATAGCCAAAAGTCACAGAAGGAGCCTTGTCGGGTGAACAGGCAGCCTGATGTTGTGTTTGGCGAAAGAAGCGTGAATGTACAAGTGCGGGTGAGGAGGTTCCCAAAATCTTGATGCCCTTGTAGTTTTTTGACCACGAGAATTAAAGAAAACGGTAAAAATGGCCTTGACCTGCCGTGATTTTTTTGTCCTCGACGATGACGGATGTTTCGACCGTGATGGCCCATCGCCTGTGACCATGATGTTCAGAAAGTTTGTTTCTGAAGAAAACTTGGTGGCATAGCTTCTGGAACTTCTTCAACTTCCTCGAAGATTGCAACGTCAGTACCCTTCGATAACTTAAAGTGGTCCTCTTACTTATGTCGCTTACATAATTCTCGTGGCTTTGGTGGTGTTTCCTTAGCTCTCTTCTTGTAGCCTGCATCCGCAGCGAAACGCGCCAGGAAACCATAAGATGCCATGGCTGTCAGATTGTCGTAAAACGTTTGCTGTATAATGTTCGCTTCTAAGTACAGTTCAGCAAGGTTAATATCACCTTCTAATTGATATTTTTCCAAATTTGTGCGTGAGACATGCATCTTCGAAAAACGATTACACAATATCCGTACACAAATTTACAATCGATTATTAGTGTAACCTAATTAGTAGCGGTTAATTGGAAAACCGAAACTGGAAAGTGGTTTTTGTTCATCAATTGAGTATATAAACTTCGGAGCCCTGAAGAATGGTATCAGTTACGTAGCTTCGACTTATAATTCAACATGCAGCTCAGGGTAGGTCTTCGTTTACCCCTGGTAGATTCTAACATGGTTTCTTTGCAGTTTGTCGTCTTGTGTCTAGCCTTTGCCGCGGTCAAAGCGGGTTATCTTCAACCAGCGCTAAGATATGGCGGCGCCATAGGCTTTGCGGCTCCTTCAGTTGCCCGTGTTGAACACCTGGCACCTGCCGTTGCCTCCGTTCATAGGACCGAAACCTACACCGCTCCCATAGCAAGAACTTCGCTGATCGCACCAGCTGTGCACTCGATCGCCGCAACGCCCCTCATTCACCACGCTCCAATTCTTCGAACGGGATACCTTGGGCATAATTTTGGGTACGGTGTTACACCCCTAGGGGCGAATCGCGCTGGCTGGTGATTTTGTTAGAAGTTGTATAAATAAATGACTCTCAATACAACACTTGGCCTCAATGTCTCTCTTCCCAACGCAAAACCCTTGCCTTATACCCTCGAAGTTTTCACAAGTGCTTTAGTTGCCAATGGTAGTCCGTTGGACGTGAAAGTTTGTGCTTTAAATGAAACTCTCCATTCGGTCGCAAAGGCTCTGCTAGATGTGAAGCAAGTTCCTTGTGAACGTGCGTAGTTTGGTTTCTTCCAAACATTGGAACTTGAAGCTAGACGTAGGTTTTTGATTTTAGATTTTGTTTTTTTCTTACAAATCGGTTTAATAGTCACTAATCAAGAAAAATAAAACCAGTTCGGGTTCTACAGGTCAAAATCTACAAGCTGATTTCTTTCTTCTCGGTCAGACAATCGATCGATACACTTTGGAGGCAAGGATATAGAATTTGACAATCAGACAACAATAAAGGTCGGTCTAAAGCTACAGAAGCAGGTGAAGCTAGGCAAATTAGTGACAAAAGCGACACACCTGCGGAAGACTCATGCTGAAGAATCTAGAAAAATTACAGAAACTGCCGAATCGATAGAACTTACGGAATCTACAGAATTTACAGTAATTTCAAAAGCTAGAACAAAGAAGCTACATGAGCTGAAGACGCTAAAGACACTACAAAACCTGCTGAAGCTATGAGAGCTACAAGAGTCCCAGGAGCCTAGGAAGCAACAGGTACTGTGAGGGGTCCGTGAAGTTGGAGTGTCGACTTGAAAGGAATTAATTCCCATGTATCTCATAATTTTGTGCTCATTTTGTGCTAATTTGTGCTTCTAATTTATTTAAAATTTTGTGCTCATCAGGTTAATGAGTAATTCAACTTTCTCTGATGACACTCCAACTTCACGCTTGAGTGTCAACATCGATATTTTCAAAATTTTTTTTACTATAATTTTGTGCTCATTTTGTGCTAATTTGTACTGCTAATTAGCAGTCCATGTACTGTATTGTCTAAGTTGGAAACCCATAATATTCTAGACACCGAAAGAATTGTAAAGATATTCATAGAAAAAGAATATGATGGTGTAAAGATAGAAAGCTAATATTCTCCAAAAGGTTTCGCAAATACTTGCAGTTAGTAATGAACAATTAGGTACATCTCCAGGTGTAAATTTTCGAAGTAGGTTATGTAATGTCGTCTCACGTGACGTTGCCAATGTCAATTTCGCTAAGATGGCGGGTCCAGGTAAAATTGCGATGTCATCCACGTTCTGCGTAAGAAATATCCAGGTAGAGAATAACGTAAAAGTAATCCAGAAGAGAAAATGATAAGAAGTTAAGAGAGAAGTTTGAGCGAACCTTGAGGGAAGATAAAACCCTAAAAAACGTATTAAGAAAAATGCTGAAGTACATACCTCACACTAATTACTTGCAAAGCGTATTCAATGGAGCACAGCCACAGCACATCAGAAATAGAGAAAAAACACTCAATAGAAATATATTCACAGCCAAAACAGATTGACACAAAGTCAAGTAAAAAGTAATGGCGTATCGAGAAAAATTTGCACGCAATTAACCCAGATCCAGATCGTCTCTGAAAGGAAGAAGTATAGGACATGCGTATGTAGAAAAAAAAGAAGATCACGACCTCTAGTGGCGAACCAAAGAACTATGGTAATAACAAATATACTATAGAAATGACTGGCATCTAAACTAAACGGGTTTACAGAGGGAATACCTAGATGGGGTGAGAAATATAAAGAGAGGTGCAACTCGATTAATTTAGATGAGGCTTATTGCAAGATGCTTCAGTACATCGGCAATTTGGTAAAGAATAATCGATTTCCGCAGATGTAGCAGCGTTTATTTATTTATTTACTATTCCTCTCTTGTTCTGGGCCCTCAACAGGCTTACGCCCAATTACAGAGTGACCCGCATAGCGCTTTTTAGAGGTGCCTCTGCAGAGAAGGTATTAAGTTGTTTTATACTACTCCGGTATTTACCTTACGAATTAGGAAAACTGCAGGAAAACGTCATTCAGAGTAGCCGGCAGAATGCTCGCAACTGGTCTAAGGTATCTGCCACAGATGAAAAATTCACCTCAATCCAGGTTCGAACACCCGACCTCCGGAATTATAGTCCAACGCTCTTTCATTGGTTTTCAATCGGTTTGTGTTGTTGGGTGGCCTTTAAGCATCAGAGTCGCACGTCTAACACACTCACACCCCTCCCACTGTGGACTGTGGGCACGGGAAGCTTCGGGAATATGTATCGCAATTTTACATTATAGTTGCGCCTCTTTGCTATTTCTCACTCAACAATCAACGAGTAAAATTCGAAGTATATAAGGAATATAAATTTGGAATATCAATTGGTAAGAAAAGAACGCTACATACTCCTTTCCTTGTTTTATTCCTGGTTGCCGTATTTACCGCTCATCAACAAACAATCAGATATTTAAATTTGTGGTCTCTACGCTTCATGCTTCTTGCTAAACAAAACCAAAACTGGTGAATACTCAAAATGTTTCCTTCAAAATTTACCGCCCCTAGAATTTGCCGCTCTAGGCGCGCAACTAGTCCGCCTTGTGGGAAATACACCCCTGGATGTAGCTCAAGGGAGAGTAATAAAAAAAAGAGAGCGAAGCCGCAAAAGGCACCTTACTGTGGACATAAAAGTTAAAAAAGAGGTTTGGGCCTAAGGCGAGTAAATTGCGAGCATTTTTCATGCATTATTCGGGACTTCCATAGTCCATTGTTATGTGACCTATGTTTTTCGTTATTAGAAGCATCTATAATTAAAAATAAAGAAGTTAGTATTGGGCGGTTTGCGCATGCGCATATCTAATATGGGACGTTTGCCTTTACTAGAATGTGGTTAAATTTTCCAAAAAATATCTATAAAAAAAGGTGCGGGCATTGTGCAGTCTGCGCATGCGCACACCTGATTTTTACTATATGCGATATGTTTGCCTTTACTATAAAGGTGGTGAACATTTCAGCAAAATATATTAATAAATAAGAAAATTGATATTGCGCATGCGCACATTTATCGTCATGAGGTAACAGAGCTACCGAATTCAAGAAGAACGAACTAAATATATTGAAAACTGTAGGAGCAGTGGCGCCCTCGCATGGACGGACGGAGAAAGTGGTCATAATTGCGCCTTCCAACATAAGTTTAAAAATGCGCTAAAATCTAGGTTCTACCATTAAAAAAATAGAAAACATTTAAGAATAGTAAATCTATTAAAATAAAACAGATTGCAAGCTGTGCAAACAGATACCGCATTCACAGGCTTCATTCCGTTCTTCAGCCTGATAATTGTCATTACGACTAATTATACACGAAAATTGGGTAACCATTTTATCACAAAATTCCATTATAATTCGGATTAAAGTTGATAAACACAAATTCAGCCCTATTTCTTTTGTACGATTTGTTTGTTTCTAATTCTTTTAGTAACTGCGTTGTAACTCAAAGTTGATTTTTTTAAATTGAAGTTACAATTTACCATGGTTTAAAAAAAATTTATTGCTTTACGAGCTTTCCTAAAATGTATAATACATCATACTTATTTATCATACTTATTTTCAAGAATAAGCTTTTTACAATAAATTTTGCTTATTAATACATCTTGCCTGAAAGATAATAACAAAAGTTTTTTTTGTGGAAAGAGTAGCTAATTAGCTAACACTCCGCCCACTATAAAATAAAGACAATAATAAATAAATAAAAAGTTGGTTATTAAAAGGTCTAGAAACAAACGACTGACGACATTGGTTATCTACATTAAAAACTGCTTGAATAATGCTAAAGCCATTTTGTTCTAGCTTCAACATTTTTCACTTTTTCTCTCTAGAGAAAAAACAAAAGACGGCAGCTTATTTCCGGCAAAGGTAGTGGAATAAGCATAAAAAATAAGGACACGAGTACTAAAACCGTTTTCGTTTATCTGCGCTAATAAGAAAATTGCCCATTTAACCCCATCGAAATTGGACCACACTGTACATAGTACGTACGGTACGTACCCACAGGCAGAAAAATTGTATTATTTAGAAGTTGCTTAAAATGATCTAAAATGTCGGCATTTGATGAAATTTTTCCAAAAAAACGGCGATGGCAATATCCAACTAACTGACACTACAGAAAAATTTGAATTACTCATTAACCTGATGAGCACAAAATTTTAAATTGGCAGCACAAATTAGCACAAAATGAGTACAAAATTATGAGATACTTGGAACTTAATTCCTTTCAAGTCGACACTCCAACTTCACGGACCCTACTGTGAGAGTGTCAGGGGTTTCGGGTGAGTCAGAAGCTATAGGGCTGCATAAGAGAGCTGTAAATATTTTTAGAAAAAAAGTATTTTCGGTATCTAGTTTTGTTTTAGATACTTTTGTAAAGTATCTTGTACAAGTTACTCTTCTAAAGTATCTAGATACCACGAAAAGTAACTAAGATCTTTCAGAGTATCTTAGATACTTTAAAAATATCTTAGATACTGTAAAAGTACCTTAGACATTCTTCTGCGCCTGTAGAGCAATTGTTTTCATTCGTCACTTTTATTGATCCTTCACGACGACATGCGCTAAGCTAAGTGACGAAAATTTTGAACGTTTAGTTCTTTTACGGTCCAATACGTAGAGGTGTTTTAAATAATCTATCTAGAATTTATATAACAATAAATTTTGGTTAGGTCATTAAGTGTTCTTTGAAAGTACTATGTAAATGTTTAGGTTTTCATTTTCTGTGTTTCGTTAATTTGCGTTACAATCCAGTAAAGTTTTCTGTATAGTCCAGGAAATAAAGGTTTTGCCCTGGAAAATTTTTTTCAAAATGAATCGATGATCTTGAAATTTTGACAGTAGGTAATTTTAACACAGGAATAGATAGCAACATTAATTCTAAGCAAAAAATTTTCCATATATTTTTTTCGCTTAATATACTTCTCCAGTTATTCCGGACCGAAGGTATGAGTTTTTCATAGAAAAGATCAATTTTTTTAATTGGTTATTCG